CATTCTCTAGGCTCCCTTGCTTTTCTCCAAAGATGTAGAGACTCGAAAGTCGTTCCGAAATTCCTGAAGATTCGAAGAATTTTTAATTCCTTCCAATCCAACAGAATTTTTAAACGAGCGGAACGAGCCTTGCTTCGGGAACGGATCCACCAAACCAGGAAAGACCTAGCAGCTATGGACAAGGATCTTCTATCGATGAACCAAAGGTTATCCAACAGCATGCACTGGAGTGACTGGGACAAAGTTGAACGGATGACGTATGACGTGATGGAAGCTACACTAGCGAAAACAACCAAGAAACTGGTAAACAAGTTTAACTCCTTGAAGCCAGTAAACACTACGAAACCCACAGGCAATGATCGCACAGTTGTCAACCTGAACCAACGCGTTCTGACTGATTCGGAAACCAGTGTTCTGAGAAAAGGAGGCAATTTTGCGATAACACCGAAATACCTGCCATACGAAGACATCATAGCAAATGTGGAAGCCAGCATACGCACATTATCTCAAACCACTGCGGAGGAAATAGGCAATGAAACCTCTAGGATTCTACGACTTGCGAAACCTCCAAAGTGCAACCTGACATACGAGGAAAGGAAAGCTATTCGCAGCCTGAATACAGACGAGAACATACTAGTCCTGCCTGCGGATAAAGGAAACGCAACGGTAATCATGAACGTGACTGACTATGAATCGAAAATCTCCGAACTTCTAGACCCCTCCACCTACAGAAAGCTGAAACGTAATCCCACTGCTTCTATATTGCGAAAAAACAATCAACTCATCCGAGCACTACCGTTGGAGCCGGAAAACATAAGGAAACTCATCAAATCTGAGGCCTTACCACCTAGAATATATGGGCTTCCTAAGATTCACAAAACAGGCAACCCACTCAGGCCCATTGTAAGTGCAATAGATTCGCTCACATACAGCATAGCCAAATACCTCACCACCCTCCTTCAACCACGGATTGGCCAATCCAGCTCTTATGTCAAGGACTCAACTCATTTCATCAAAAAGATCAGTGATATCACTCTATTACCAAACGACATTCTGGTTAGTTTTGATGGCGTCTCATTGTTTACTAAGGTACCAGTAAATCAGGCCTTAGAGTATCTGAAAGATGTTTTTCCGGAAGAAATCAACAACCTATTTCACCACTGTCTGACGACTACGTACTTTCAATGGCAAAATGAATTCTTTGAGCAGACAGATGGAGTCGCAATGGGAAGTCCACTCAGCCCGGTTATCGCCAACTTTTACATGGAACACTTCGAACAAATGGCACTACGAATGGCTACAAAGAAACCTACTTGTTGGTTTCGCTATGTAGATGACACATTTGTTGTTTGGAACCATGGAGAGGCAGAGCTCGAAAACTTCCTTAATCATCTAAACTCGATAGAACCCAGGATACAGTTTACGATGGAAGTTGAGAAGGATAACAAAATTGCATTCCTCGACGTCCTCTTAGAAAGATTACCCTCAGGTAAACTGGGACACAGAGTGTACAGGAAGCCGACACATACGGACAGATACCTCAACAAGGAATCTAATCACCATCCTAGGCAAAAGAGAGGAGTCATTAAAACTCTATCTGACAGAGCAATCCGGATTTGTGAACCCAGATACCTTCAGGACGAGATGCAATACCTAAAATCGGCACTTGAAGGAAATGGGTACTCCAAGCAGGGGATAAATAGAGCCATAAGACCGAAGCAGCAGCGCACAACTAACAAGGAACCAGCACAGGTGGCAGGGAGAGCCTTTCTTCCCTATATCAAAAATGTCACAGATCGCATAGGACGAACGCTAGAAAGACACAACGTTAAGCCTATCTACAAGCCCACAAGAACAATTCAGCAAAGTCTAAGATCGGCCAAGGATCCTAGGGCACCTCTTGAATCGGCTGGCGTCTATAGAATTCCCTGCTCTTGTGGATCTGTCTATGTAGGAACAACCAAACGCTCTATCAACACCAGGGTCAAAGAGCACAAAAGAAACTGTCAGCAAGGACAAATAGATAGATCAGCAATCGCCGAACACGTGCTTACACAAACAAACCATGTCATTCGTTTCGACCAGACTCAAACATTGGATAGAACCAAACATTTCTACACCAGGCTCCACAGAGAAGCCATAGAGATACAGAAACACCACAACAACTTCAACAGAAAAGAAGAGGGCATGAACCTCAATAAAAGCTGGTTGCCAGTTCTCCGAAAAACAAAGACCCTTCCTTTCCGAGAACGAGACAAGGAAAATACCGTAATCCAAGCCACGCCCACAACCCTGGATATAAATAACGCAGTTCCCTCAACGTCGAATTCAGTCATCGGAGAAACACGGAAGAGAACACTTCGACCTCTACCACACCGCCTCTGAAGATGTCTACCGCAGAAGTAGACGAAACGTTAGGTAGAAATACTAATGGACCACGGCATTATAGCCCGGAAAAAACTTTTTTGCTAGATTTGACCGGCCGTGAAAGCCTTCATTCTTTATTCAACCGTATGGTTCCCCATGACAACGGCGATCCTGCCAAAAACTCCACCAATCAGGTTCATCCAGGACGGATGCTTGCCAAATTGTCAAAAGCTGATGGTATCTTTAGAAAATGTTTATTTTTTACAATAGACCAAACTGAAGAAATCAGGATTAAAATAAGGATAGGTCTAACAACCACGTTAAAATATTTAGCGTTTTATTATTGTTATCAATATTTTGTTATCAAAAAACGGATTTTCAAATTAACTATACTTCATGCTTAGTATTTTCGCTTTTTTATAATTAAACGTGGCAACATGGCACATTTACGTCCGAATTCCTTCCGTAGACTCAGATCCGCTGGGCAAACAATAGTTTAACTGATTGTGTTCTACCTGAAAGGTAACTATCAAGAAGCCGACAAGCATTATATCCGAAACCAAGGTAGCCAAGAATAGCTAGAAGCATTCCATGATTCAATCTGTCAAAAGCTTTCGAGTAATCCAGAAGTACCAACGCTGTCAACTCACCTCGATCCGATGCCGCCAAAATATCATCTCTGACCCTCAACAACGCAGTGGCGCAGCTGTGGTTGCTACGGAAGCCAGATTGTTCCGGATGAAAGATCCCACTTCGCTCAGCATGTTCTCGAATTTGACGTTCCAATATCCTTTCAATTACCTTTGACAGCGTTGGCAATATACTTATGGGTCTTAGGTCCTTTAGCTCACCTGGGGATGAAACTTTTGGAATCGGAATCAGAAATGAACTCTTCCACGAAGCCGGAAAAGTGTTAGTTTCGATGCAGACATTGACCAAATGAACAATATATGGGATAATATGAGGACAGCAGTACAATAGCATAGACAAACCAATACCATCAGTTCCAATGGCCCCTGTTTTTATACCAAAAAGAGCAGATTGCACCTCCTCAGTGGTTGCCAATTTAAATTCAAACACATCAACACCATGTTTCCTGTTTTGCAGGCAGAAGTTAATCGAAGCCGGATCTGGAACAGAAGATCCAGTCGCGTTGATAAAATATTGATTTATATCATCCGCCGTACCTAAATTTTCAGGAACAAAAGTGGAGCTTTTTGAATATACATCAAGTTCCCTTAAAAGTTTCCAGTTATTCTTTGAATTATTAATACGTAAACCATTATTAAGATAATTTTTTTTTCATTTTGAATAGATGTGGTAACGAGATTTCTTAGTTGTCTGTTCTGCAAACTGTTGTTTTTTTGTATTTAGACAATACCTTCTTTCGTAAATGCATGAGATGCTTAATGTTTTGAGTGATCCAGGGAGCTTTCTTTTTTGTAATTCGAGCAGTTCTAACCGGCGCATGAACATCATACAGACTTGAAATAAGTGTATTAAACAGTGCCAACTTTTCATTGATATCGGGTCTTCAAAAAAAAAATCAATCGAAGATTGCTTTGATTACGAAAACGTACGTCGCATTACTGTTTCTTTATTGATCAGGATTTTTGACATGACATTTTGACATTAAAATTCATTGACAAAATTAAAGACAAATATTGCTAAGACATACGTTTAAAAAACCATAGCAATTTTTGATTGGTTTTTTTTTTTGAAGACGCGATATCATCAATATAAAGAATATTTTCAAAGGGCATACCAAGTAAGTCACTATAAAATAATTGTCGATCAAAAAATTTAAAGCCCCTGTAAGTCTTAAGAAACGGTTTAGGCCTGGACACGTCCAGTTTAAGTGTACATTTAATAAGCAAATTATGAGATAAATCAAGCGAGGAATCCACACCACCGTTCAATAAAAAATCTGTGTTGGAGCATAAAATAAGATCTATAAGAGTTGCATTGCCACACCCAATTCTAGTTGGTTCATTAATTATTTGATTCAAATTATATGCATGCAATAGTGAAAGAAACCTTTGCGTGTGTGCACCATCAATATTGAGCATGTTAATATTGAAATCGCCCAAACACACGAAATTACCACATTCCAACAAATTTCTAGATATAGCATCTTCAAATTCATCAAAAAATTCATTAACCCTCGTAAAGCCCGGTGGCCTATAAATAACACTTAAAATATTTTTAATTCCATTCATCCTAAACGAGATAGACAACATCTCTGAGTGATCATTCTGTATGTTATCCAAGACAGAAAACTTAATAGAATTTCTTACATACAACAAAACTCCACCCCCTCTACCAAGGCCCCGGTCCCGCCTGACAATTCTAAAACCATTGATACCTACCACCTCATCACTCGTTACATGCGTCAACCATAACTCTGAAACAGCGAAAATATCAAATTAATTTCTCAAAATACATTCTCTAATATCATTCATGCTACCAACAATAGACCTTATATTTATATGACCTATATTTAGATTATAATGTTTATTTTGTTTATTGGCCATCACAATTTTTTATGATAAAAAACAAAAATAGAGAAGACATGAATAAAATTTAAGATTTAAAAGTAAAACGATAGGGAATTACGAGCGAGTTAAGCTATTTTAAAGTTCATTCTTCAAACTATCAACCTGCGCCGACGTGATAATTTTGATTGCCGAGTCCTCCTCATTCTTTCTTACCAAAATATTATCATCCTTACACCATACGTACTTGAAACCGTGTGACTTGAGTTCCTTTGCCTTTAGAAAGAGATCGCGAGTGTGTTTCGACAGGTCCGGATTCACATAAATCCTCGTTTTGGAGTCAGCGGCTATGTTGCAAATTTCGGTGTCAAGCTGAATGGTTTTTCGTTGCTTTAGGACATTGTTCCTCATATGCTCGTCAGTGAACGAGACAAGCACAGGTTTCTTAGATTGTTTGCTAGGTAATACCTTCACAGTATACTCGTCCCTTGGTACGACGATGTTCAACGCTTTGAAAGTATTTGTAACGTCAGCGTTTACATTTTCGTCTCCCTTCAAGCCAACGATTATTATATTTCTGTTCCTCTCGTTAGGTACATCTCGTTTAGAACTTTTAACGTGGACCAGTTCTCTTTCCAATTCCCTTATTCGCGCTTTCAACAGGTTATGCTCCTTCTTTAGTCGCGAATTTTCACTAGAAATAGCCTGAATTCCCTCCTTCAACTGTTCCATCATTGAACCATTGAAAGTGATGGAGTTTTTGAGCTCGTTATACATCCTCTTCATGACTCTCATCATGTCCAAATTGGTAGGATTCTGAAGGTCAAACAAACTCTCAAAACTATCCAAATCTTCATCAATCACTCGCAAGTTATTGCTTCGACGTGTGGGTGTGGGCACAGGCACATGGACTCCAATACTACTTCTCCTGCTAGAATTCGGGATAGGAATTTCATCATTTCCAGACAGGTCTGTGTTGCCAGACAAGGATTTCCTTCCGACACCAATTGAGCACCTAACACAAGCCCATTTTTGTACCGTTTTTCTTTGCTCATATGCAGAGAAATCCTCATTATCCAAGCCTGAGCACTCCTTGTGAAACCATGCTCCATAGCTTCGAGCACACTGAATTTTATAGTGCAATTTGGTTATATTTCTCTTTTTTTTTTTTTTTCAATGAAAATTTCATCATTAACCATTACGTTTTGTTGGAAAGATCCTAAAGTGGTCTCTTGAGTCAAGCAAATACCTCTAATCAAAATAAAATCTTTAGTAGGTACACTGTATTCTGAATTTTTTTTTCTGCCACATCCTTTCTTACAACACTTATGTCACTGCTGGTGTCTGATAATACTTTCAATTCCACTGTTTCTTGGGTATCACTTCGAAGGTGCTAATATTGCCACTATCATTCTTCTTTGGACACTAAGTTCCTAAGATGCATATCATAATCATTGCAAGTGAAACGTTTCGATCTTTTGTTTTTATCAACGTACTCCTTAAATTTATGGCTTTTTACCATAAATACAACAAACTGGTAATCTAATAATCTAAATTTTTGTCCATTTTTACCCTCATTTTTGAACTCTCTGTTGGAAATGGACTAAGAAATAAAAGAACTTGTTAATTATCGTGGAAAGCAGAGCGTGTGAACTCATAGAAATAACTATACGAACTGACTCAACATCAAGACAAAGAATTACAAACCCTTTCTTAAGTAAACGATTCCTCATCTGTTTATCTTACATATAAAAACTATTATAAACACATTCAGTCATCCATAGCTGCGATATAAATTAGCAAAGTATAGGCTAATAATCAAAGTTTAATTTATTAATTTTTGTTTCACTGATATAAATATCAGTTTATCCAACACTCTCTTCTTTCGAATTTATTATTCTTGACATGAAAATGTGGCTTCTTTTTGATATCACCTTATCCGTAAAGTTTAATTCTCTGCCGGTGGTCTAAGATTAAGAAGGGATGTGTGTCCGTATGCTAGAAGAGGTCTTATTGTTGGAGCTTAGTGGCAACTTCTAAACTAGATTTTGCGTGTGTAATCAGTGCGGTGTCATCGGCAAACTGCAAGATACATTTGTTCGCATCCATATCGGCAATATGTTCAGTTATGTCATAGCAATATACATTATACAACAATGTTGATGGAGGCAATCCTTGTGGTACTGCTTGTTGTGCACTAAATTCTTGGGATTTTTGATTATTGACTTTGATTTGAATTTTTCTGCTCTCTAAGAAGTTTCTAAAAATTTCTATGAGATACTCAGCAACTTCTAAGATATACAGTTTGTATAGGAGACCTCTGTGCCAAACACTGTCGAAGGTCTTCTTCATATCCAGGAAAAGATCTGCTGACTTCATGTTCTGATGTTTAGCTGTTTCGATGTTGGATTTTAATATGGTAAGCGGACGGATTGAAGAATGTTTTGCTTTGAAACCGAATTGATGTGTTGGTATTTTTTCATTTACTATGTTTGCAAGGCTGAGTCGTGTTAAGCCAGGGACACATCTATCATGCATTCTTCCGATCCGACTCCGATCATACAATCAAGGTCCTTATTCTTGGAACAGGGGAGCAGCGGAACACTCGTTCTCCTTGGGAACGCTGGTCCCTGTTCCAAGAATAAGGACCCTGATTGTATGATCGGAGTCGGATCGGAATAATGCATGATAGATGTGTCCCGGGCTTTAGTCGTGTTATTTTTTCATAGGTATATTTTCCCTGTAACAAGAAGTAATGTAATCGGTCTATAATTTTTGGGAAGTTTATGCTCCTTATGTGGTTTTGGTATATTAATTCTGATTCTTTTTCCCATATCTCTGGAAAACATTTTTTGTTAAGGCTGTATTCTAGAATTTTCTTGATATACTCGTGAACTGCAACTTCAAACTGCTTCACCACAGTCCACGGAATGTTGTCTGATCCTGGTGCGCTATCTTTTTGTGAATGACTTATTTTGTAATATTCATTTGAATCAAGTACTTCATTAGGATGATTTATTTCTAATTATCGTTGAAAAAATGCTTCGTACCATCTATTGATAAATACCTTATTGTATTTGTCAATTATTTATCTCCTGGTAAGTTTGAAGCCATGAATTTTTCTTGTATTTGAAGATTAACAATATTAACATCTGAATATCTTCACTAAATTTATTAATTTTGGTTTTTATTTCTGGATCTGCCCTGACATAGTGTTCTCCGAACATTTTTCTTTTCTCTTTAAAAAATCTCACATATTTTCCTTTAGAACATCTTCGTAACGTTTTTGTGGACCTCCCTGATTTTGTTTTCCCTCTTTCAGTTGAATGTAGAGAATCCGTCGTGGAAGGCATGCGGACGAGGTGAACTGTCCAGCGAAGTTGGTGCTTAATGATGAGCGATTCCATGTTAGTTGTTTTGGCCTCTAAAACGGTTTGTTCATCGGTCTTGCCATTTAATTTGTAGTATCCTTCTTAGGTATCGCTGTTGCTGGTAGTATTTTTCAAGGCTTTTCATGTGTTTTCTGTACGTGCTCCATGTTTCGCAGCCATATGTAAGTGCTGGTATTACAAATACATTGTAGACGCGAAGTTTGGTCTCAGCGCTAATGTCGTGTTTATTGAAGACTCTCTCCAGGTAGGGCACAAAATGGCGGCGTTTTCCATATGAATATATAGGATTTTGACGAATCAATCAAAAATAAGACGGCAATTGTCGCCACTGTGGATTAAAAAAGTCACTGTAGAGTAGTACGTTCGGCAAAGAATGGTCATTTATAGTTATAATTGGGGCTTGGGGATTAGTATCCGGTGCGAGTTGGTGCAGAATCTGAGTCGTTGTTAAAGTTGACATCTAAACCGATTCTCTTGTATGCCTGGTTGCATGAATGCATTGATAATTGCCTGAAGATCTTCCTCTGTATTGGCCATCTCGACGTCATCATCCGCATATTCATGTTCAATTATCGTCTTTCGTCTTGGCACGTAATCTGCTTAGGTTGAATAAGTTGCAATCAAGTCTGCACAGGATTTCTACTCCTGACAGTAGATTACCCTTGGTTAGGTGAAGTATGTATCCTATAAATAGAGAAAATAAAGTGGGTGGAATAACACAGCCCTGTTTAACGCCTGTAGTTATTTGAAAAGACTCTCTTGTCCATTGTTGCTTTTGGGCGGTTGCATTCATATTATCACGTGGGTAGCAGGTGGAGTATCTGTATGTACTTTTGCGGACATCCAACCTTTGCCATCTTCCAAAGAGCATTTTTGTTGACCGGAATGTCGTCAGTACCAGCTGACTTATTGTCTGTTTACCTGTTCAACCTCCTTTAATTTGGGAACCTAATCTTTTTGCATGCATTGCTTCGTCGTTACGCACATCATGTTGTCGTCTTCGTTCCTTTTCCTAGTCCCCTCATGCCTCTGTCTTCTGTCTTTAGTCATTTCAGGATGTGCAATACACATAAAGGGAGAGATGGTGGTTATAAGTGGACTGTATATTTCTACTGTTGCTTGGATCTGATTGAGGAAAACTATGATGAAGGAATACTTTTAATGTCACTGTATTACACTTTTTACACTAGGTACACATGAAACTACTATACTTTATACAATTTATACATAAGATAGAAGATGACCAGAAGTCAAAGCTTCTTGGATACTATTTTTCAATTTCTAAGGAAAACTTAGGCACGACCTCGTGGGAAGAGAATAGGCATGAATGCAAAAAAGGGACGTTATAGTATTTTACATTATTAGCCAGGTAAAACAGTTTGAAGGAAATGACTAGCGAGCCGTCAGGCGAGCTTGTCAGCTTCAAGAGCCAGTAAAAACTGATACCTGGCGTATGATGTACAATAATTTATTTGTTACTCATTTGTAAACAATCTTAAACAATAAATAAAAAATTAATACATATAGGTAATACAATTGTAATAAATAATTCTCTGACCCTACTGACTTGTAATAGTTATTTATATTACAAGTGCGTTTATGAACATGATTACAATAACGAGCGTGAAAGATTAAAACGACGAGGTCGTAGACCGAGTCGTTCTAATCACACGAGTTTTGTAGTCATGTTTAAACGCACGTGTGATGGATGTACAACGTTTTATCTACAAAGCGAAAAATAAGAATTTTTCTTTAATTATTTTCATTTATTAGTAGTTGTCTACCTTCATTTTACCGTTACAGGTTTACCTTTGACATTTGTCAAATCACCAAAAATAGTCGTGTTATAGATTCATAACCTCGTCCATAACACCACTAGTTGTGTTATGAATTCATAACTTTGTCTATAACACCACTAGTTGTGTTATGAGTCTCATGACATAACTCCAATATTAGAAAAATGGTTATGTAAAAACGTCATAACCAAACGCTTGTAGATAATAGGTATTTTCCTAACAAGTGCGCAAAGTGTTACTTTTCCGCACGCAAACACAGTTATACGAACGACGCGAAGCGGTGTGCGGTAAAGTGCACTTTACCGCACACTTTGTATTCCACTTTACCGCATACTATGCTATAAAGTTAACTTTACCGCACACTATGCGGTAAAGTTAACTTTACAGCATAGTATGCGGTAAAGTGCTACTTTCCATTTTCAAATACGTGCGATAAAGTGCACTTTACCGCACGTATTTGCTATGGCCATCTTAAGATTATTAATTGTCTCAAGCATATCTACATCTTTTTCTTGAATTTCAGGAGATCATCTGTTGATATTCTCATATAAATAGAGGTACATTCTAGCTGTATAAATCACCTAATACCCTAAAACAATTATTTTTTTGAAATTACAATTTTTTTTTTTTGTGATGTGCAAAATTTGTCACCTATATGGCCATCAGTTTCTATTTTTGGCCACTAGAGCAGCCACTTATAGCCTGACGGTTCGTGATAAAAAAATTTAATTAAAACTCATTTCTATAGCTGGTTTAACATGTATTTTTATAATACTGAAACTTTTAACAAAATCTAGAATTAAGAACTAACATTTTTCGTACACATCAATGGATCCTGCAAATTTTGTTATTATAACATCCTTCCTTCTTATTTCAAAGACGGTTCAGGAAGTAAACCCAGAATATCCAGTTTATTGACAGTTGAAATGTCATTTTTTATGTAACCGAATTTCGTTTTTTGATTGTCAATACTTTTTAGACATTGTATCAGCAACTCTGTATCTAAAATAGTTGCAACAATATCTGAAAGTCGTTGACATTCTTTTGCCTGTGCCCACAAAATTCACCGAAATTACCAGGTTTCAAATCATCTGTTTTATGTATTTCAAGGTCTGGTATGTCAGCTCCTAAATAATCAATATCGTCACCACTGCTTCCTGACTCTTCCCATTCTTCTTCAGAACTTGTGTCTTTTTGAGACACATCATTGTCCGTTTTAATTTTTTTCATGCCTTTTTTGGTTTTGATATTTTCCTGCATTTCTGTTTTTTTTTTTTTTTTTTCATTTGCCTTATCCGCTTCCTCCCTTCTTTTTCAAGCGTTTTTGGTGCCTTGGTTCTCTCTCTATCTTCTTCGAACTGACACCATACGTCTGAAACTAAAACATGTGAGCGCTTTGCGCCTTTCGTGTTACTGATTTTTTGGATTTCTTCTCACCAGTATAAGGAAAACCCCTCTTCAACACATCTGAAACATCAGAGCTGTTGCTCGAAAATGATATTTCGATTTACGGAATTAATTTTTGCCGTATCAGTGTCATTCAGAGAACAGGCACTGGTTCTCAGTTGCTCAATGTCAATATCTTGATTTTCACTCTTTTAATACAACATCTGATTGACATTCTGACTGGCATTTCGTTCATTTTATCATTTTCAACAATTTCAACGCCTTCGTTTTCAGAATGGTCAGGTGTTGACGGTGAATCTATGATTTTTCTATTATCGTCAATGAAATTTCCTTCTACTTTATTTTCTTGAATGGTGTTTTCGGAGTCTTTTAAATTTTTTTCTCGATTTTGATGTGAGAATGTCATTATTCCCGCACGCAAAATCATTGAAGAATGAAGCTCATTCTTCAACGATTTTTAGTGACATAGTTTTCAAAGTATTCCTATTGGTACCTTCAAAATTGTCAAACCTTCTAAAATGATAGAATCCACCTGTCAGTTGGCTGGTAAGTAAGTGTCACCAACTGAAATATTTTGCAAATTAAAAATCCCCAACTAACAGCGCCCACAAAAAAATTTTAAAAAATGAAAAATAAAATCCAAAATCGAGAAAATAGTATAAAACATACGTTGCAGAAGGCTATTCTCGCACTCATTCGTTCGTCCACTCGCTCCTTCGTCGCTCGTGGCCAAATTTCGAATTCGTGCGGGAATATGTGGCCTTCTGCAACTTGTATTTTAATATACTATTCCCATGCTTCATAAAGCTTCCTGTTTACCCTCCCAATCATGGTTTCTTCTTTTTGTCATTTTGAATTCAGTCAGTAATTCAGGATCGACGTTTTGTTCTAACTAGGTGAGATGGGTCTTCATTTTCTCATTGAGTTCTACTGATTTAGTCTGCAACAAGTCTGGTTTTCTCAAGATAATTTTTGAATCATCGACGGAGTTTGCATTGAAGGGGAAGAGAGCGGTGGCGCGAAAGCCTGACTTACTATTTTCACAGGTTCTCACTCATTTTAGAGCCATTGATAATATCAGATAAAACTGACGGTACATTTTGTTTGATGATTTCTTGACCTTCATTTGCAATTTTAGATTTTCTTAAAATATGCTGCCATTTCTTTTTTAGTGTCCCAAACACTGCAACGTCGAGCGGCTGCATAATGTGGGTTGCGTTAGGTGTTAGAGCCACTAAAATAATTTGTTTCTCTCTACAAAATCTGCTTAGATGCAGTGTCAAATGACCATCTACAAATACAACGATTGGAAATTTGACATCTAGTTCCTGAAGATAATTATAGAAAATATTAGAAAAATATTCGGGGATAATACCACCAGAGCTTCAAAATTACCGATAATTTATCACGATTGCGTGTTTTCTATAATTTCACGAGTCCGTAGGACGAGTGAAATTTGCAGAGAAAACACGCATGAGTGAAAAATTTTCTGGTTAATTTTAAAGCTCAAGTGGTATTTAGAGGATTATTTCACGTATGAGGATGCAAAAAATATGGAAATAAATATGTATTAAACGATTTGAACATCTTAACGATCAATACAAATAAATGGTTGCTATCAGGAACCGTTTGTTTGTATCAAAAATTAGCATGACAACCATGTATACAATAAAATGGGAGAATTATCGCTGTAATTCTCTCTAGTTAAACAAATGGAAAAGAGAATTTTCGCTGTAATTCTGAAAATCGTCACTTGTCTTACGGGATTTCTAACACATGAGTGGAATAATCGAAGAAATATTCAGCTGTCATCTAGCCACTTTCACTTTTCCCCCTTGGGTAACCTATCGTATTTGAATAAGGTCAGAGGTGGTGCGAATTTTCCTACAGCACCGACTGCAAAAAGGGTGGTTACATTTTCCTTATCAGACGATGTCCTTCCATCGTAAACATGCGTGCCTCGAGGACCCAGAACAACTCCACTTTTTGGTGCTAAAGGAAACCCTGAAAACCAAAAAGCAAAATTTTTGATAGAATAGAGAGGGAATTTTTTCATTTTTTCATTGCTCACCACTTTCGTCCATATTGAATATCCTCTCTGGATCTTCAAAAATATCAAATGCTTGGACTGATCCCAAATATTGATTGACTTCAGTAAACCAGGCCCGGATCCACGGATTTTCTCCTGTTGTTACTGCACCTCGGCCACCATGAATATATTCGAGTTTCTTCTGTGAAAGTTCTTTTTGCCGTGCTAGGTCGGTTGTCGGTTTCAATGTTAAGTTCTGTAACAATTTTTTATACAGATTTCAACAATCCATCTTTGTCTATGGGAAAGCCCATTTTTGCGCATTCCAAAACCCACTGAACCAATGACTGTTTCAAGTCCTTACCGAGAAATGAATTAAATTCACATTTTCCTTTGGAATCCCGTGGAGACTTGCCGCTGATATTATTTCTCAGAGTAGTACGAGGTAGGAACATTAAATTTTGAGCTGGCCGTTAACACCGGCATTCCTTCGGTAATGGCGGTTAATGCAAAATTGATTTTTACTGGAGAATACTGGAGTTTATGAGTTTTTTTGAATTCTTATTTTTTGGATAGTTTTCAAATTTTGTCTGAAAAAAATAAATAAAAATATGTATAATGAAAATAGTGCTAAGAAAATTATTGTCCAAACGTGGATCTGACTTTTGTACTTTTGGCCAGGTGCATGGCCAAAAGTAGGGAAATGTCAAAAATAGGTTAAGAATATAAATACTATAAGTCAATCTACTTACCTCCATCCAACACAAAACACTTTCAAAATTAAAAAAACTCGATTTTCAACCTCGATGTCTTCAGAAATTTCTTAAAGAAAATCCTAAGGAAAATTACCATACCAAAATTATGATAAATAAAATATGGATATTTCAACCGCGAAATGAGGTTTACACCACTTCTAAAGCATCATTAAACAGATCTCGGCGGGAAATTTTTAAATCGATTTTAAATAGATTGCTTAATATTTGCAAGAAACCGGGCAGTCGGCCATAAGTATAGGGTAGTGGACATAGGTGGTGCCTCTGCCCTACTTCCTGAACTAATTTAGCAGTTTTTAATTTTCAGAAATCACAAAACTTCTAGAAGAGTGTTTTTTTGTGTCTGGAATATTCATCAATAAAATATTTCCTTTGTATTCAATATCATCCAAGGACATCTGTGTTGGTTCTTTTCTCCTACATACGCCCGCCAAACCAAAAATCGTAGCAACTTTTATATGAAGATATATGTTGTCAGGCGCTTCATTTATAAACTTAAAAGTTTCTTCTTTTAAGAAAAATTTCGCCTTTTTTCATGTAAGTAATTCAGTCGTAGAAAAAGTAGAGTGTGTAACGCGTGTGAAAGGCACTTTTCAACACTTGTTGCATAATATACTATTTCCGCACTAGTGCGGAAAAGTGACACTTTCCAAACCAAAATCCGTACGGAAAAGTGGACTTTTCCGCACGTTAGTAGAAAACCTAATTTTTTGTTTCGTTTCAAACAGATTAGTGAAAGTTTCGGATAACATTTCAAATATTTGTACCGTAGAAGGCTTTCTCATTTCAAAAATAAATGGCTTCCGAAGAATATAATCATAGTTTATTGTCAATTTTCACACACTCCGTCGTCTTGATGGGACCGCAATTCTAGATAATCGAGAGATTTTCCATAATAGTGTCCGTCTACGAATTAAACAAAATTCACTCTATTGTCTTGATCTTGCTTCATCAGATTTTCATCACTTGAAAGTTGTCGTGGCGACGAATCCGGAACCGCTCACGCATTACTTCAGATGGATGCATCGACTTCCTTCATTCTGTCTCCAGTTCGTCAGTGTGTTTCTGGCTCATAATACTTTGTATCATAGCATCGATCTTATCCCACTTTTCTTTGTTCATAGTCATTATCTCTATTAGATTTTCAGGGGTAGCTACATATCCCACCTGTTGCCAGCATCTATCTCTCTCCTGTCTCCACTGATGACAGTAGAAGATGGTGTGCTCTGCATCGTCTTTTTCTCCGCAGTAGGTACATTCCTCGTCCTCCGTCTTCCCGATTTCCCTCGTGTAGCCTCTGAAGCTTCCATGTCTTGTGAGAGCCTGCGTTAAGTGGAAATTTGTTTCCCCATGGCTGCGGTCTAGCCAGAGTCTAATATTGGGTATGAGGCGTTTAGTCCACCTACCCTTCGAGCTTCGTTGCCACCTATCCTGCCATTTAACTAGTAGCCGTTCCCTGTATTCCTTCCGAGCCTCTGTTCTCAATTCCTTCGCTGTTTGGAATACGGCTTGCCTCTGCTCTATCAGAAGCTCAATTGGAGGTAGTTCCGCGATCAGCAGAAGTGCCTCGGTGGAGACCGTGCGGTATGCGCTTGCGATACGAAGGGCCGACTGTCTCTGTACCGCGTCAAGACTAGTGTGGTTCTTTTTTAGTCTCAATGCTCTTTCCCCGGCTGGTGCCGCATATAATAGTATCGACTTTGCCACCGAGGAGATTACCCTTCTTTTATTTGCCTTTGGCCCTCCGATATTTGGCGTCAGTCTTCCCAATGTGCACATTGTTTTACTAGCTCTGGCTGCAGTCTTTTCCACATGTGCTGAAAATGTCAGCTTGCTGTCTATCCATACTCCGAGGTATTTTAGCGAGGACTTGGTGACTATGTCCTGGTTTAGTATTCTTAAGTGCGCGTTCACATTGACACCGCTCGAGCGGTGACCGTTGCGCGATGCCGCTGTAGCGATGCCCAAAAATAATTTTAACATTATATTTCAAATGAACATGTTAACACCGCGTGACGCAACGATCCAGTGTGAACATGTTCATTTGAAATATAATGTTAAAATTATTTTTGGGCATCAATACAGCGGCATCGCGCAACGCTCACCGCTCGAGCGGTGTCAATGTGAACGCGCACTTATGGTAGCCGTGGGTTGACGCTTTTTCAGAGACAGAAGTACAATCTCTGTTTTCTCCGGAGCCAGATCCAATTCATTTCTTTCCAACCATTTTGTGATATTTTGAATCGCCTGTGTCGTTTTTCGCTGGATTTCTGGAGTGTCGGTTCCCAGCACCATGAGAGCCACGTCATCAGCGTAGCCCACAAGCGAGATTCCCTCTGGTTGCGGCAGAGTTAGGTTAGGAGGCCGTCATACAGAATATTCCATAGTGTCGGCACTAGCACCGATCCCTGGGGGACTCCGCATCTCATATCAATACTATTTGCGCCCTCGTCGGATTTTATGACGATTTCTCGGTCGACGAAATAGCTCTGGATAATTTTAATAAGGTACGATGCAGTCCTACGTTTCCTTAGTTGTTGTATTATTTGTTGCCATGGTGCACTATTGAAGGCGTTTTTAATGTCTAACGTTGTCATGGCAACCATTTTTCGATGTCTGTGGCTTCGCTTGCCTATTGCTTTCAGAGCTATTTCGCATACTTTCCGGACCGCATCTGTTGTCGATCTATTTTCTCTAAAGCCATATTGCCTATCAGAGAGGGTTTCCCTCAGATTCAGGTCCTCACCAAGCCTAGCTCGAATCAAGTGCTCCAGTAATTTGCCAGGTGTGTTCAGAAGGCAAATGGGTCTGTACTTAGCGTTCTCGGTGTGACACTTTTTTGGCTTCTCGATCAAAACTAGCTTGGCGCGCTTCCACTCTACCGGGAACTCTTCCGTTTTCAACATTTGGTCAAAGGCCGGGCAAAACATTTCTGGTTTTTTTGAGAACTGCCTGTTGCAGAATCTCTGGTGGGATTCTATCCAGGCCTGGGGCCTTTTTCATTTTCAGCCTTCTAGCCGCCTCGATGAGCTCTCCTGTCGTGAGCTCGGGAATTACATGGCCGTTTAATGGAACTTCATTCCAGGCTATTTCAGTCTTTGTGGGAAAGAGTTGTTTGGCCACCTCAACCATCCTTTCCATGGTGAGAGACCGCCCTTCTGATCTTAGTTTGAGTGTTCTTGAGACTATTTTATATCCTTCTCCAAAGCAATTCTCGTCAATGTCTTCGCATAATTTGCGCCAGCACGATCTCTTCTCCTTCTGAATGGCTGCCCTTAGCTGTTTTTATTGAGGGTATATTCCGTGGCCGCATCTTCTGAGTCGAGGTGATTTTTCCTGTTAGACCTGGTTAGTTTTCTTCTGCTTGCAAGGCAGCGTATCCTCAGTTCAGCTATCTTCTCTGTCCACCAGTATACCGGCTTCAGATTGCCGCGTGATCCAGTAATCTTGGGCATTGTGGCGTTGCATAATTCATTCAGAATTTCCGTGACCTCTTGTGACATTTTAAGATTTGCGGTTGCGTGCATTTCATTAAGAGTTCGCTCTAGTTTGGCATGATCTAAGCGTCGGACATTCCACCCTTCCTTCCGTTTGACTATATCGGAGTTCGTTGATTTGTCTATGATCTCAAAGTAAATATATCGGTGATCGCTGAGGGTTTCTCTATCTAGAACTTGCCAGTCTTTTATTTTTTTACTGATGTTTTCCGTTGCAATTGTAAGGTCGACAATTGACATAGCGTCTCCTCTTTGGAATGTTGCCTCCGTGCCTTGATTCATTAAAATCAGGTTTCTACTTGCCATCCAGTCAGATAGCATGGCTCCTTTCCGATTTGTTCTAGGCATTCCCCATTCCAGTGAGTGTGCATTGAAATCCCCTGTGAGAATAACATCCTTGTCAAAGGTGTTTAAAGTAGCTCCCATGCTGTCCAAGATGTTCTGGTATTCATCCGTCGTTTTTGATGGTGCCAGGTAGCAAGCGATAAAGATAATATCTGGGGTTTCGGTCCATACATAGCCGACTCCAGCGCCACTCCTTAACAAGGGTGTACCTCTGTCGCGCACATTCGAACACACATCACTAATTGCATCCTTCAACCATGTAGAGCTGCTTGTAGCCTTTATGTTTGGCTCCGAGACTGTGAGGAGGTCTGCGTCTAACTCTGCTGCCGTTTGTAGAAGGAGGTCATGGGCTGCCCTGCATTTATTAGTATTTATTTGAATGATCTTGGTACTCCGCGTTCTTTTTGGTTTTCTTGACATATTTTGACTAAATCGGTTACTGATGCTTTTTTGGCTTTTATCTGTCATTTGTGTTTCTCGGGGCGTCCTTCGTGTTTCTCCTGCTTTCTTCCAAAAGTCTCCTGTATTTTTGGCATTTTGTTTGGTCCATTCTGTGTCCTGTTATGTCGCAGCTGAGGCAGTAGGGCTCTTGCTGGCACTCTCTGGCTTGGTGACCCGCCGAGCAGCAGTTCATGCAATTCTTGCTGCGATCTGCTCCTTTGCATTCTGTTGTCCGGTGCCCGAATTCCAGGCATCTGTAGCAACGTATAAGTTGAATCTTACTTTTAATACGGCACGCGACCCATCCAATTCTTATTCTTTTAGCTTCCTGGAATTTGCGAGCATGTTCCTCCCTTACCGCCACTATCGCCGTCTGGTTTCCCGCCCTATTGGGGTTCAGTGCTTTTATAGTGAAGGATCCCGGATCAAGTCCGAGCTCCCCTTGAATCATCGACACAATCTCAGCTTCGCCGGTGGTTCCATCAATGTCTAGGATGAAAAAGTCCTGGTCGTTGTTCCTCACTCTAACTTTGGTGTTATTTACCGAGTTTTGGATCTCCCGTTTTAGTGAGTTTGCCTTGTCACCGCCTCCTTCAATGTTTAGGCGGAGAGAGTTTTCTCCCACCTTTCTGATAGACGAGATTTTCAAACCCAGCTTGTCCACATCGACCGATTCTTTGATGCTTCTCAATACCTCCATATAGCTCTTCCCCTCCGCCCTGACTGTCAGGGACTCTATCTGTCTTTGCGTTTTTCTATTATTGACTATCGAACTCCGGCGCTCGCGGCTTAGGGCCTCAGTGATTCTCGACGTTAGAATCCGCAGTTCTACATTTTCTCGTCTATAAAGAAACTCCAACATTTTTCTCAGGTAGTTAATATCGGTGCCGTCTGATGAGGCCACGGCCAGTCTTCGTCTCCCTTCCTGTTTAGTAAGTTTTTTGAGGAGTTCCAGCCACTCGAATAGCTTCGCCGGGTCTATCTCGCTTTAGGGTACGGCAAAGCAGTATCTCTCCTGAATGTCTTCTCCTCTTCTAGAACTCCTTTGGGTGTTGGCGATATATCCGACGTCCTGCCCGCCCTCTTTTATCAGCTCTGCCAGTTCCGGAATCCATCTGCTGATTTGCTTCATCAGGCCGCATTCACAGTCATCGTCGGGCTTGGCAATGATCACCAGGTCCCAGCTTGTGGGAGTTCCCACTGGGTTGGCCACTTCCACTTTCGTCGCTTTGAACATCTCCTCTGTCCATTCCTTGTCGATGTGCTTAGCCAGGTCTTCCTAATTGCCTCCGCCTTCTTCCAGGAGCTCTGTGATATTTAGAAGTTCCTGTTCTTTTGCTATCCTCAATTCTTCCGCTTCACTAAATTTGGTTTGGGTATGCATCGATTTTTGGGTTTCGCTTCTGGTTTTACATGTTGGGCAGATGATTTCGGTTGTTCTCTGCCCTGCGGGATTTGGCAGGTATTTTTAGAGGTTTGTTTGACCTTCAGTTTCGATGGGCATATCCTCCATTCCCTCCTCGAATTTGTGACTTTCCAGCCAACCTTTAATCTGGGGGTCACTGATGATCTTAGCCTGTTTGCTCAATTTCTTCGATAGGTCTTTGATACCCTTCTTCGTGTCTTGTTCTATTAGGCCCTCTAGTGATGCTTTTAGGTCAAGAATCGTATCTAACGCTTCCCTGAGTTGAAAGTGCTCTGAGCTTTCTTTCCTTTTGTGGGGTCCTTTTCCATTGTTTCCATCTCGTTTCCTTTTCTTCTTGAGCATATCTGAGCTTTCCTCCGGTGTTGGCGAGGATCTACCAGCTTGTCCTGACTTAACAAGAATTTGTTCCTCCTCTCTCTGGTGCGGGTATGTAAATACCAACGTCTGGCAGCGAGAAAGTTCTCGTTCTTGGTGGCGACCTTACTAATCTACTTTCCGTGCCGAAAACGTCGGCAAGAATCTTCTTCAGACGATCCATATCTGCCCTTCCATCCTCCAGGTTCTTTTTCTCCCCTGTGTTTGTGTTTGTTCCAGTAGTTGGCCCCTGCGCTTCGGCCTGGTTCCCTGCCAAGGGCGCTGTACAGTTGCTGGATGACGGTCGGGGCTGGCCTGCACTTCCACCAGTGATCCCGACCGGAACTGAGGTATCCCTCCTCTGCTCCGTAATCTCTAATTCCATTTCATTGCGTTCCATTATATTTTTTGTGGTTTTTCCTGGGTAGCCTTCCCTGAAGAAGAATTGAAGAAAAATGACTGAAAATAGAGTTCCCTAGCCCTCGAATGCTCTAATAGCGTCGAGAACGGAGAAGAAGAGAGATCGAATAGGAAAGATGAAAGAGAGGGATCTGACCCAAGACTAGTTGAAGAAGAGTCCAGAGTCCTTCACTACCAAACTAACCCAAAATTTGCCAAACCGTTGAGAAGCATCGGCGAACTGAAGGAAAATATATTCGAAAACGGTAGCCTTTCCCCGCGAAACCGAAACTCAATTCTTAGCTTAGGAATTTAGAGGTTTCGGATTCTCTATCTTCCACAGACTCCACAAGGATTTTGCAAATGGTATATGTATGAATCCACGCACGCAGCCTTCCAGATTCTTCTGAAAGTTTTCAGGGTAAAATTAAATCCCAGTTAGGAAGTCAGAAGGTTCTTTTTAACTAACTACATTATTAAAGGATTGAAACCCATAAAAAAATTGGATATCTGAATCCTGATGTAGGTCGAGGCATTTAGTTCAATGCCGGCAGAAATATTCACCAACTTTGAAATAAGTTACCTAGTGGATGCGATGTTTGCTTTCTCTAGTTATAAATTTGCATAAATTTCTTTATAGATCTAAATGACCTTGATTAGTTAATAATTTGTTTCAACACTTTTTCAACAAAGTCAAAGGTGAAAAATGCAAATATATAAATAAACATTAAAAAAAGTTGTAAGTATCACACAAATAGTATTATCTCGATCATCGAGTGGTCGGATCCTTAGAAAATCGTTCGTGTAACCAACGTTATCTTTCACAAGACCATTGAAATGGCGGCTTCTTTCATGCTGTATTTGATCGTGCCGATCTTGATTAAATAGGTGCTCATTTTTTTTTTCGCCTTAAAAACACGGATTGCGCCTTGACTCGAGTGGTTATAGGTTCTGGTTTCAAGTGTTTATGATTTTGTGGTATTGGACTTTTTTTTTTTAGGAAATTTCGAGTTTTTGATATAAGGAAAGTGTTCCAATATTTGGGGTATTTTATTTAACAATGTTTTGAAAGGATCTAAATGCATGCTATTGCTTCATTTAAAAGCTCATCCATATTTCTCCATAGTATATTTAGATGATGTAGTCGAATCAATCGAAATCAATTTTCTTCAAATTTTCAAGCTAAGCCTGCCAAATAGAATTCTTATTCCACTTTAGGACAATCACCAAAAATTAGGTTGTCATTAAAGTGCTTCATCACTTAGTAAGTGAAGTAATACTGAGAATAAATACGAGTGTACCAATTACATTTTCGATTCAGAAATTTGTATTTTAATAAACATTTATTTTATTAATTAAAATACAGAGGTGACTAAAGAAAATCTGTGGATCAAATTGCTACAGCAAAGGCTTGAAAACAAACGATCGTTCCTTATGGAACTGCGTTGGCTTAAATAAGAATTTAATGCCGATATAGCAATTTGATGTTTATTTTACAACAATGTATTTGAAAAGTCATAGAGGAAAATTATAAATCAACGTGGCAATTGGTTAATATAACTCCTCCCTCCTTCAAATGTTGCAAACGTGGATTGTTGTGAATTCAAATGAGACAATTCAATTTGTACATTTGCACAACCTTTTTCTGAAGATTTAAACTTCCTAAAACAGTAAAACAATAAAATTATGAATAAAATAGCAAGACTTAAACCTATGATTACATATGTATTCAAATAAGAGTTTTCAAAAGACAATTCTTTAAGATTGTGAGTTCTTATCTGTTTCGTCGTCTTGAAGGCTTCTTCTAAGCCTTCTTGGTTGATTTCTTGAAGTTCCAATGTTGTTTCGTTCTCTGGAAGTTCAGGGATGCCTATTTTTGGATTCTTCAGTTCGAAATTGAAGTTCTCGCTGGTTTTTGAAAATTTTCGATTTTGTATTTTCACAAAGCATTTTTCAAAAGAAACTAGCGTTGGATTGGTTATAGTTTCCATATGGTTTGTCTTGTCACATTGAATAACTATCGTCAGGCTTTTCTTAAAGATGACTAATAGTTGTCCATTCGGGAGTTGTCTCACTGTTGGTTTCGCATATTTCACTTAAGTGAAAGGACATTGTTATGATAGGTCAGTAATCAGGTAATAGACACATGATTCTTCTTGCTTCAGCTCTTCTTGATTACAAAGGTACACATTTTCGACTTTCGGGCATTCCTATAAAGTATTGTAGTAAATGTCCGTAGTAAGTAATAAGTAAGTGTACTTATTTTTATTTTATTATTAATTTTCTCATTGCGTTATTATTCGAATATCGAAATACAATTTAATTTCCAAATATATTTACATGTTTCTTAGTATATGGAGCTCCTTATATTGGATTTTCCATAGATGTATGTATTGTTTGTTCATTTTCAGATAAGGCTGAAACTGTTCGTTCTGTTTGTACCGAAAGTATTATTTGTCTTCTACTTTTCTGAGTTTCTGAAGATTCTCCTTTTTCTATGGGAATTTCTTTCTCTTCTTATCCGCCTCCAGGTCCTTACAATTTAAATAAATGCATAAAACCAAATAAAAGTCAATGAATCAAATGCTATAGTCAGTTTATTTACCAAATTTGGCTACCGTCCACAATGAAACAATATGGGTATTGATAATGAAAAAAATAATAATAATAATCAAGTAAATTAGCAATATTACCAAAGAGTGGAAAATTAACTATATACTATTTAAGAAAAAGTACAATCACTGAACTGTCATTAATTTAATTTATAAAATAACCTTGTAATGAAGTGTCATCTAACAAATATAGTAATGCTATACTATTGAAATAATTGCTATAGTCATAAACAATCAAATTTAGGTGTGAAAATGTTATTGAAACTCAATAACCAAATGAATAATAAAAAAAATGTAAAAGTTGAAAATATAAAGTGAAGAGACTGTTGTAACCAGAACTACAAGCGAGTTGGCATAAACAAGCAACCACCTGAACCAGGTTATGTCTAGCTAATTTACCCTTGATAATTAGTGTTGTTTTGTTTTACTTGTTACCTTAGTGCAAGTACTGAATGACTCCCTGAAATACCTTAGTGATCACTGTGGGTACAAAATAGGGACAAAAAGGTAAATTAACAATAAAATAACGATAGTATAACTAAAGCTAGTACGATACCAAAATGTTCCAGGCGGTAGCAGTAGGTACAATTAACCAGATTAATCCTGGCTGCTGGTTGTGGTTAGGATGGTCCAACCAATCTTACGGTTCAAAATTTACAGTCCAGAAGGCTTGTGTAACCGTCCAACTACTCAAGCTGGCGTTTGATAGCCTTATGGTTCAATCTCGGTTACGATTGAACGTGTATAGTTGTGTCACAATGTAACCGTAAGTAAAAACCTCGGTGCTCGGTGAAAAAAAAACCCTAAGAGAAAAACTGTTATAACACATTGTATTTGTAATTGAACCATAGCTGTAGCGAAGCACTCAATGAATAGACAGAATTGGAAAATGAAACTAAAATGCAACTTAATTAGTCTCAAATAGCAAATTTACTTGATAAAAAAAAACTATAGCTGTTGAAAATTATTTTAATAGAAAAATTGAATAACAATGTATTTATAATAATAAATTAATTAAATTAGATGAAATCATGTAAAGCTTTAATAGTAAGAAAAGAAAATGTGCCTCGAGTTTGTAAAGATTGAGGTTAATAAGGTTATGTTTTTACCTGTTGGAAATACGGCAAGTACACGATCTGACAGTTTGACACTATTGACAGTCGTCTTGAGGTAAAACAATAGTTATTTGTGTACCAAGGCCGTAAAGTTGATCTTTTTTGGCCGAATCAGAAATTTGCGGCCGAGGCGCAGCCGAGACCAAGCAAATTTCAGGTGAGGCCAAGAAAGATCATTCGGCCGAGGTGCACACAAAATTTTTTAGGCGAGTGTTTGTTCTTGAAAAAAAAAGAAAATTCAACAGTAGCTTTAAACTTTATTGATCAAATAAATAATCCAGCAAAGATAGATAGATACACAATTATTAATAACAGAAAATACGATAAAGAGAGTGTGATAATAGAAAATTGCCGACTTTTTCGCCTGGTATCTTACATTGAGCTTTTTTAAAAAACCAATCAATTTTGAAAACTTGCTGATATGTTCGGTATTTCCGACTATAATTGTAAATTTTAACATACAGTATAACATAGGTGGACCTGAAGACCATAACGTTGAGGACTCGGTTGAGGATTATTTAATTTTAGCATTTTCTGAAAAAAATGCAAGAAAATACTCAAATTTTTAATAATGCCATTTTTTTTCAGCATTTTATGTGGAAATTTGGATAGAGCTAAAATTAAAAACTTGGTTTCATTGTGGTTGCTAACTAATTGTTTATTGGTTGTGTTTATGGTTACGGTACTGCGTTTCCGATTGTTTGTTTATTTTCACTAAAGTAGCAGCCGTAAAGTAAAAGCGGCCGTAAAGTAATAAAGCAAATGCGGCCGTGAAGTAAATGCGGCCGTAAAGTAAATGCGGCCAAAAAAGATATACTTTAGGGATGATATTGAATCCGTAAAACTAATCTTTTTGTGACAGTCGCCTAAAAAAAATATAATTTACAGTGTTTTTTAAGTTTTTAGTTAG